TGCTGGCTTCCCCAGGACATCACGCTCTCTCAGGGCATTACGATGAAACAATCCACATGGCTCCTGTACATGAAACTAATTCAAATGACTCCACTGGATTGCCACTTTATCCTTATTCTTGACGACTGGCCACTGTCCCTTCTATAAATGTGTCCTGCCAAAGGGCATGTAATCTTCTTAAACGAAACAATTTTATTTTCCAAGTAAAGCCCACTGTCCTACAATATTTTCTCTTCTTCAGAGGTGTCCTGGCCACACATGATAGCTCTACGCAGTCGCTTATGAAGTGAGAATTTAGAGTTGAGCCAAATCATCTAAACACATGTTTATATATGTGGAGGGCAAAACCGGAGAACCTGGAGCAAAATCTACACGACCACTGGGAGAGAGAAGACGCAAACTCCAGATAAACAGGCGTCAGGGTCGGGATTGAACCCACAGCCTCCTGCATAGCAGGCGAGGGAGATAACAGTGCGCATGGTGTGATCTACAATCCAAACGCACCTCTTCTCTGTCATTCAGCCGATGCATCTCTCCACGTATTTATCAGATTCTGTTTTGTAAACATCCACATTTCTGATACATTTTCAAGTGGATACTACACACTGTTTAAACATGACCTTCTTTATGCACATTGGTATATTGCGTTCATTCTTGAGTTCAGATTTGCGAAACAATCCAACATGATCTCATCCAACTCTTTATTTCAATATTCTGATCTGTGTTTGCATTAATTAACTGCCTTTGGTAATGTATTCTACCTAGTTCAGGGCGTCCGTGCCTGTGCCTGTGTGCTCGTACTCGGATAGAGATGATCTCCAAAGCGAAATGCTCAGGAAGGGTGGCGTTTGTGCACAGACTGTCCTATATGACATCATAACAAGTCTGGACCACTGGACGAGTTCCACAGGATTGGAAGGATTCCCTGGTGGTCCCCCTCTTTAAGAAGGGGGACCGCACAGACTGTAACAACTACAGGGGAATCTCACTCCTCAGTGTGCCTGGAAAGGTTCTGGCAAGGATTATTCAACATCGCCTTGCTAGGCACGCTGAGGAGAGGCTTACGGAGCCCCAATGCGGTTTCAGGAAAGGGCGGCCCTGCACAGATGCCATATTTTCTGTCCGTCTGCTACAGCAGAGGTGTAGGGAATTCCAACAAGACCTACATCTCTGCTTTATTGACCTGGTCAAGGCCTATGATACCATCAGTAGGCCTGGGCTCTGGGTTGTTCTTCGTGCTTTCGGAGTCCCGGACCATCTGCTCACGATCATTAAGGACCTTCATGATGGTGAGCGGGCCTGGGTAAAACTACGTGGCCGGGAGTCAGAGCCTTTCCCTGTACACCTTGGGGTGCAACAGGGATGTCCTCTGGCTCCCACATTATTTAACATCTATTTTGACCGCGTAGTTCGTGAAGCCTTCATTAGCTGTACCGGGGGAATTTCCATCTGGTACAGATATAATGGGAAGCTGATCGACGCCCGGGTGCGATCAAGGGATGGCTCCCTATTGGTCAACCACGTTATGTATGCTGATGATTTGGTAATAGCTACTCATTCAGAAGAGGAGTTGGAGATGCTGCTGCTGAGACTGGAGCGTGCCACTAAGAGGTGGGGCCTTACCATCAACCCCACCAAAACTAAGCACCTGCCTGGGTATTTTGTACCATCGGACACTCCACCCCCACAACTCCCAATCAGCGATGGGGCAGTAGTGGAGAGAGTGGAGAGTTTCCCATACTTGGGCAGTGTGCTTATGACCGGCTCCAGTTTAACAGCAGAGGTCTCACTCCGAATCAATCGAGCGGCAATATCTTTTCATCGGTTGCGTAACGCTGTGTGGAAGCTACCTGGTCTGTCGCTCCGCACGAAGCTTCAGGTCTTCTCGGCCACAGTCATTCCCTCCCTTCTCTACGCTTGCGAAACGTGGACCCCCTAATGGAGCATCTTCGCCAGTTGGAAACATTTAGGCTGGCCTGCCTACGATCCATCCTGGGTTTAACCAGGCTGGATTGTGTGAGCTCACAAATCCTTGAAAGATCTGGGCAAAGTCCCATCGGTGAGCTCCTCCGGCAGGCAAGGCTGCGTTGGCTGGGTCATGTAGCCCGCATGCCCAGTCACCGCATGCCTAAACAGCTTTTGTTCGGCCGGATCGAGGGGGCTAAACGGGCGCGGCATGGGCTAGAGAAGAGATGGAGTGATGTGGTACAGGAGGACGTGGAGCTGAGTGGACTTGCCGATGACTGGTACCAGCGGTGTCAAGATCGGCCACTGTGGAGGCTCGTGAAGGACGCTACTGGGCAGTTGGAGGCAGTCGCCCTCCAACAACAATGGAGGGCGGAGGAGCGACGCTCACAACAACGAGCGGAGTGCTGGGTGGCTAAAGCACAGCATGTTGGCACAGTAGGGGCACAGGTGGTGCATCAGCCAGTCATCTCGGTCATCTCGGTCAGTCGACCCGTGGCACCTGGGTCTGCCCCGTGACCTCCTGCCAGCGGGCGTTCGACAATTCACGTGGCCTCAAGGTGCACATGGCCTGGCACAAGCGTCGTGGTGACGTCACCGCCACTTAGTGGCGAATGGCGGTTGTTGTTGTATTCGGATACACTTCCACCTTTGTTCCTCCATTTACTGTGGTCAATTTCCATAAAGTGATACATGTCATTTGCTAATATGCTGTTCGTTAACATTTCTCAAAGTACCTGTACAGTTATGCCTTTCTTTCATATTTTTCTCATGTCACGAATTTATGTATGTTGAACTTGTTTTGCTTATCGGAGGTGCGGGGGGAGGACAACAGATTAAACACAAAAATAAGTTCTATAGAAACGATTCTTCAATTAAGATTTAAAGTACTCTTTGGTTCTTTCGGTAAAGTCACGTAGGCAACAAAGAAAAAAAATGTAAATCACGACGTTTCGGAAGCAACACAAGCAACCGTCATCATGTGTTGCTTCCGAAACGTCGTGATTAAAAAAAAAAAATTCCTACGTGACTTTACCGAAAGAACCAAAGAGTATGGATCCTTGCAGTCACGAAAATTTCAAATCTAGAAAGGAAGATTTAAAGTGCATAGCTCCAGTGGCTTCCACCTATCGGAAGGAAGCGCGTTCCAGATGCAGTGACCGTCTTTGTTCGAAAGAGATCATTGAGCATGCCAGATTCAGGTTCCATACCATCGGACGGGTTCTGAAAAAATACATGACACCGCAAGTCCCTGCGGTGTGGGTCATGTGGGATATTTGACCATAATTCACGCTTAGACAAATGCTTTGATGCTGCTGCTGCGTTGGCAGTAGTGCACAAGCAAAGATAACAAAACGAGGCTTTGGGGCCGTCCATAAATGACGTCACGCACCTAGTGGGGGGGAGGGGGGTCAGACATTTGTGACGATGTGTAACGAGGGGGGGAGGGGGGGTTTGAGAAATGTGACGTCACATCAAAATGCGCAACTTTAAATAATATTAATTAAATATAATTTTTATAACACATCTTTTTTAATTAGTTTTCATTATTAACTATTTGAATATTTCAATTTAACCAGGGTCACATTTTATTTATTCCATGAAGGAGCATTTTGCTTCTCCATGGGAGAATGGAGAAGCATAAATTTTGTTAAATTTTTGAATGATTGTTATTAAACATTTTGATTCTAATGATTCTACCAGGGCTTTTCATTCTGTGAAATGAATGTGATTGTTATAATTGTACTCTCCTTTTTGCTTCGTTCTACTACTCAGTTAAGTATTTTTTATAGTTATAATTACTTTTGATATTTTATAATTAAAAGAGAATTTCAATATAATATTCTGAACCACTGCAGTTTTAGTTAGACGTTTAATATTTTCAAGTGAATTTTATACTAAATTTCAGCTTTCCAACGCCTCTTTTTCTCCTACAACATCCAAGTGCAGCGCCACATTAAATACGCACAATGACAATAGTTTAAAGTGATTTGAAGCATGTTCTATTTTCAAAATGGAAATATGGTTTGGGGGGGGGGGGCAGAGCTTTGTGACGTCATATTTGAGGGGGGTCTGACTTTTTCTGACGCCGTGTGACGAGGGAGGGGAGGGGGGGTAAAAAATCGGCCAAAATCGCGTGACGTCATTTATGTACGGCCCCTTTAGTATAAATATAATCGGTGACGTTTCGGGCAACGGCCCTTCTCCATACAACACAATTCACGCTGGTCAGTGTGGATTGGTGAAGGCAAAGGGGGTGGGGCAGAGAGACGTCACAGTACTACAGGGAAGTATTGTACCACCATGGATTATGCCAATGCCATCCGCTCACCCCACAACGCATCACCACAGCAGCTATCACCTGCCCAGGCAATATTCCGTCTGCTTGGGGGTGCTTTCTGAGCGACATGGTCATAGACTTACTTGCACACGAAGTAGTTATCTCACGCCCTAAGCCTTTGCCGAAAACGAAACCGACTTCACGTGCAAATTGATGCAAGTAAACCACCGGTGGTATTTAAACGCAGGGCCTCCATTTATACTACCAACAATTACTGCCGAATACAAACCCATCAATAGTCACAGAGTCGAGATGACACGGTTGAATTGCCGCAAAGCCGGGCGAGGCCACGGGCTTTGGGTGCCCCAACACCGAAAACCAAATTCAATGAATCGATTGTGACGGACGCACAGTCGCGAAACCCCACGGGATGAACTCTGCGTGAGACAAAGACGGACGGGACGGATCCCACGGGGACAGAAGACGTCTTCTGTCGAGGTTCTAGTAGCCACCCCCACACACACGCACATTGCCTAAACAACAACAACAACTGCAGTGCTCTCCACGTAGGAGCCCTTCACAAGACTGCCGGGGCTTGAGTGTTTTTTTGCTCTACGATGAACGTGGCTTTGCAGGACCCCCACGCACGACCGCCTTTGTCTCACCTCCAGCCAACGTCACGCGCAGAAAACACGGAGCACGTGTTGTGCTCGCCACTCGTTAACGACGACAACAACAACAAAACACACTTCACCGATGGCTCGCTGGGAGACAATGAACGGAGATCCGTAGCAGTGCGCTCCGCCTTGTTGCTGCTGCTGCTGTGGTGGGGGGGGGGGAGCTGCGTGCGTCGTTCTCGCGTCGTGTGAACGGACGAGAAGCCGCAGATGCCGAGCGAACGAACGACGACTACGAGCCCGCCTTCGCTTTACCTGTTGGCGAGGTGTAACAACATCAAACACACCCCACCCACCCACCTCTCCTCCTCCTCTTCTTCACCCAGGACGACTTCCTGGCGGCGTTTCGGTGGCGGTGGGGGAGGAGTTCAAGCGGAGGAGCGGCACGCCACGTGGGTCGCGGTGATGCTGATGGTGCTAGTGGGCGGGGGGGAGCGGTGGCTCCGATGGTTAGCGAGCTCCAATTCGCTTTGCCACGGCTGCGACGAACCCCCCTCCCACCTCCACCCCCCCCCCCCACCTCCCCCACCTCTACCCCCCCCCCCACCTCCACCCCCCACTTCCACCCCCCCCCCCACCTCCACCCCCCCACCTCCACCCCCACCCGCCCACCTCCCCCCCCCACCCGCCCACCTCCCCCCCCCCACCTCCACCTCCCCCCCCCACCCGCCCACCTCCATCCCCCACCTCCACCTACCTCCACCCCCCCCACCTCCACCCCCCTACCTCCACCCCCCCACCTCCACCCCCCACCTGCACCCCCCACCTCCACCCCTCCACCTCCACCACCCCACCTCCACCCCCCCACCTCCACCCCCCCCCCCACCTCCACCCCCCACCTCCACCACCCCCCACCTCCACCCCCCACCAACACACTCACAGGAGGAGATCGTCACAAGCTCCCACTCACTGACTCACTCCGTGCATAGATGTCAACCCGCAGGGTTCACGCCGTCTTCTTGTTGTGCAGGGAAATTGCGTTGTCAGATCCGCACCGGCGTGCAGCCGTTACGATGCGGGGGAGAGAAAAATGTGTCTGTGTTTCTCCGTTGTGATGGGGCTTTGTAGGATGAACGTTGAGATTTTAAAGGGGCACGGGGTGACCAATGAGGTCTGTAATAACTAGGGCACTGATAAGGGGTTGACAGGTAAGGGTGCCTGTGTGTAAACATCAGTACTTGGGGAGACAAAGGCGGTCGGGCGTGGTGCTGGACACTAACACCCCCCCCCCCCCCCACCGCGTATGCCGTGCTGGTCTTCATTTTAAGTGCTCGCTTACAGCACTTTCCCCAAACGTCTGTTAAGGAGCTATACGGGGGTTCTTTGGCTTTGTGATAAGGAGCGGTGGCGCAATGGTTAGCGCGCACTTGCGCTACGAACCCGGCGACCCCAATTCGATTCCCGCTCACGGCCAACATTGGTGACGAATGTCTCAACCGGTGCCGGGCCTCCCCTAGGTCGACTGAGCCTTAAAATAAATACCTGGTACGATGTTTACATTTCGCCACGGGGAGAAAAATTCCGCAGGGCATGGTGCTGACCACCCACCCCCTCGTGTGACGTGCCGGCCTCCATAGGTGCTCGCTAACAGCACTTGTCCCAACAGTCTGTTACAGGCTATAAGGGGGGATCTTTGTCTCGTATTTTTGTACTGTATATGTTTCTGTTCTTATATGTGTTGTGTGCATGCGACATACTCAAACTGCGTTTAAGCGTGAATGTCCAGAGGGCTTAGGGCATCATTAGTACCACCATTTGATCAACGCTGAGTCAACACGCCGAGATCCTGGGTTTCAGGTCAAGATCCAACAAGCAGAGATTAAACTGCTCAAGTACAAGACGGTATAGAGAGGTTGATGATAGAATTCTCCCCAACAGTCCATTAACATGCTTCATGTGTACAAATTGCACGACGTTTTATATTCGATTGGGTGAAATTGAGAACTTTATTTATCTCATGTTATCTGTGTCAAATGGTATCTATTTGGCTCAAATTCCATCCCGCCCGATCTTGAGCTTCTTCGTTTCACTCGACGGCACACCCTTCAGATTTTTATTTATAAAAAAAAATGTCCTTCTTTACCAGAACGTCCTTCATCGAGCTTTCACATATGAGAATGAGCACAATCCACATCTGTGGCCTTTTATTCATGGTTCAAAGTACGTAGATTTCCACACTTCTGAACCTATTCCAGAACTTCATCACGCTTTTGTTCAAATCAACTGATATTATCCATTGCCATGGCCAAATCTCAGCACGTTCCAATCTTACGTCTTCCTCTGCCACATACTTGGGTCTTGCTGAGCCTCTTCAACTATTTAAATGTGTATTCTTGGTTATTTCGGTAAAGTCACGTAGAAGGGAAAAATATATATTTAACAATAAAAATGTATTTAAATGCGTGTTTTTTTTAGCAACATTCTATAAAGCACACCTTGTTGGTGTTCTAAGACATTAAATTGCAGCATTGGCATTTTCCTTTTTTGCCTGGTTGCACACATTTATTTTGCAACATTTCGCAATGCACCATTCAACTGTTCGTAAAAGGGGCCAACGTCTTATTATTCACAAAGTGGAACAAGTCATTCGAGCAAATAGATAAGGGTTGCTGGTATATTACTGGGGCGTACTGGACTAGTGTTGGTTATCTCAGCCACCCAGATTCCATATGAAGCCATGCACAACACCCCACATAACTCGTACGTATCTAAATCTGATCTGGAATTCTCCAGGGCTGACTCAGTCTGGGCAACATCGGCACTGGGGAGACGATCACTGCCCTCATAATCTGTAAAAGATGAGAAAATCCATGACAACAGAAGTGAACATTCATGACCGTAATGCAGTGGCAGCCGTGAAGATTGATGATTAGACTGCACTGATGAGTCATAATAATAATACATCCTCTCTCTACTGTTGTCTCTTTCTATCACTGTTGCCTGTTGGCCACATTTTCTCAATTTATTGATGGTGGTCTCAGACAAAGTTAACACTTAACACAATGGAGTTCTTATGAGCTGGCGGTTGTGCATAATGCGTAAGGCTGTTGAGAGCCTTTGTGCATGCAATACACATTTTTATTGTTAAATGCAATGGCCACATGACCACCTCATGTGCCGTGCTACCCTTATATACTTACAGCATTTTCCCAAAGAGTCTTTATGGAGATTATATATACATTAAAATTATATGATATAAAGTTTTATGATATAATATATACGGCTAAATTGGGAAATGTGTTTTTTATCTGACATCAAAACCTTGTAGTAAGTAGGGTTGGATTAGTGTTAGCATCCTAATCAACTGGTTCTTGGCCATACACCAGCAGTTTTTTATAACTACTGCCTGAACCTTCTCTCGGCCAACCTAACAAGCTTGCATTCAGAGAAAGATACAGTCTTGTGATTTAACACGGAATCAGGAACAACAGAGGATGTGTTTTATGCACGCCATGTCATGTGTCCCACTTTTATCTCTTCCCTCCAGACTTCCCCATCATTTGTCCATTGCAAAGACAATGTTTGCAATCATAATGTGACATTTAACTTTCGCAAAGAGGAAAATGTAATCCTCACATGAAAAGGGGCTTATACTACAGTCATTTATGGGAGTGGTTCAATTACCATGTTTTTTCTTTCAGAGATGTCGTGTCTGATTTGGCAGAATGATACGTACATTTCTAAAATGATTTATTATTCAAGGTGGGTGTAACAAATCCATTGAAATTCGAAGACAGGAGAGAATGTGGGCTGCACTATTATGAGTTACCAAGGCCATCCTCTTGTGAATGCCATGCAACGTTGCTTTAGAACTTTTCTTGCTCAATTACTGCAATGCACAAAAGACCCGACTAACACAAAGTAAAACAAACCTCAAAAAGATCACGTGTGCATTCATGGAATTAAATTCAGAAATAAATCTGCAGGCTTATCTGTCTGATCAATGGGCAGTTGACACAAGGCAATTGCGTAATGCCTGCGCCATTTATTTCACGTACAGCCCGTAATAAACATCACGCACCGAGTCCTAACACTTCGTGTTTCCAATGTGTTTTTCACAAACTGACTGTGTGCCTGTTATCGCCTATCCTGACACCGGTGACCACCGTCCTTCAGCTGCTAGTTTTAGCATTTCCAAATAACTGTTTGCTGATGGAGCAGTAATGTGCTTGCTACCCACGCAACGATAAAAAAAATCCATTAAATCCGAACTCCGATGCCTTTGCAGTGCGTTAACAAATAACAGTCGTCAAATCAGACACGGTGTGTTGATGTGATGGTATTCTCATCCGTGTGTATTCCTGAAAAGCAAACTCTAAATGTATGCAAAGTGCACCACAATTAAATTAAACACCATAAAAATCCCAGAAGGAAGAGTTCATACAATGGTCACATCACTTAAAAAGTTCACGAGGAAAAAACGTGAACATTCAATACGCCTATCCAGGAGTTGCTGGTTATCGGGCCACTTCAATATAGGCACACTCTCGCCAACATTTTTAGGAGGAGAATCAGAAGGTGTTGCCCTAATTAGTCCGCTGAGCTATACAGTACAGCGCTGTATCAAGGGTGACTCGACCAAAACACAGATAGAAAACTGTTATTCATAATCAACGTTTTTGGGTTAGATCGCGTTATTTATAAATGTGTCGTAACCCTCCACCACCCGACACGGCCAATCAGTAAAAAAGTGTCACGTTGACAAAAGACAAATAGTTCACTGCTTTAGCCCGCTTCAACACACCGGTGGGCTAAAGCAGTGAACTATTTGTCTTTTGTCAACGTGACACTTTTTTACTGATTGGCCGTGTCGGGTGGTGGAGGGTTACGACACATTTATAAATAACGCGATCTAAACCCAAAAACGTTGATTATGAATAATATTGGTCGCGAAAGGCCTACGTGTTAAACTGAAAACTGTTACCATAAAATTAAGTAAATTTGGATGCAAACAAAAATCATTCACACCAAATTCAATCAACCTGTTATAATTGTAAAACGTTTAAATTGAGTTACATGCATCTACAATAAGTGGATACATTGTTTAAGCTGCAATTGCTGTATATCAAAACGGAGTGTACTGTTGTAGTCAATAATGCTGCGAAGTACTCAACGTGGGGAAGGTCGTGTTTAGCTTCAAGTCATTTCTCAGAAGCGAACAATTTCATCAATCGTCATGCGGTACTTTTTCTGTGTTCGCAATTGTGGTAATTCTGAAAATTGAGGTTTGAGTAGTGTGCTTGAAATGCACTTTTTCTGATCTTAGACGCTATGTGACGACTTGTTATATTTTTTAGGATCACAAAACTAATGTAATAGCTCTGTTAGAAGATGTGCTCATGTAAAAGCCTCTATTAGAATGTCACGTCATTGTGTTGTTATGATTATGACCTCACATGTGCCGAGCCAGCACTCCAACGTGTTTTCAGCTTCGAGTGCGCGTTGTTCGGCACGATGTCTGACGTTTCGCTCCGCATGCATGGGAGCTTCTTCAGGAGCTGAATTCATACATCCAGCACAATTGCGGAAGACCTCCACAGTAGCATGTGCTGAGCCCATTTAAGAAATGGCCTTTGTTCCTTATTATCTGTAAACATTTTGGTTGCTCAGCAACCACTTTTGCTTCAAGTTCGTGGTTTACAATAAAGTATAAACCTATGGCAGACAGAGACAAGCAAACACATATGCATCTGGTCAGTATGCAATCTTTCAGGTAAAACACAAGCGTCGCCCAAAGGCAATCGAAGTGTAATGTACGCATTCCTAGGACGTTTCCGAGAAAATAAAAAATACGTGCAGAAATGCAAAGTACCCGTGGAGTTTGCGTGATGCCAGTAGGTCCGTGAGCACGAGCTATGACCACAACTCCCCTATCACGAACGCGGCAGCAGAAACCAAAACGTCGAGGGCCACTCCACCCGCGGTGTCCGTGCGGTTAGAAGGGGGGGCGAGAGGGGTGGGGGTGCTTTTTTGTGCCCGTGTGAATTTTATTTCCTTCGTATGTGTGTGTTCTTGTTGTTGCCTGTAGCAAGAACTTCCTGTTGCAACAGTGTGCTGAAGCAGCCACTGTGAAATCAACAGTTAGAGGCACAAGAAAGGCTTAGAGCACACGCATCGCTGGATGCGTCTCTCGTCGTGAATTTGTGTTTGTTTGTTGTCCTTTCAACGCACCCCCGATTAGCACGGTTTGTTGTGTACGGTGCGAAAGAAGTCCAGCATACATGAATACAAATGATCAACCATCTGGTGTTTCTCACACTCTCAAAAGTGTCTACGCGTCTGCAGGTACCAGATATTTTGGTTGTTATTCCTGCAAAGTGTGACCGTAGTTGCGTTTGTGTGTATATGTATTTTTTAAACATGAATTGTATTTCATTTACAACTACAGCATACAGATTTTTTTGCATGCGTTAACGTTCATATGTACACATTGTAAGCATTGTTGTGAGTAAACCTATTACCATTTAAGAATATTTAATTTCTTGGTCAATATAGCTAATGTATGATGATGGTTTGAAAATTATTATGCTGTGTAAGTACAAAGCTTATAGAGTAGTGGGAAAAATTGAGATTTGTAAAAAGTGCACGAGGACGAGTTTGTCTAGGGCGGCCTCATTTTTTCCTACTTTCATTTTAAACCCAACCCAAGCATGGAATAATAGCTTTCAAGAGCTGATCCCTGTGCAAAAAGCAGAGCCATAACGATTCTTTGAAAGACATGGTAAATGCCCACACCTGATTGCAACACTCGAGCAGCAACCATTTGCGCGAATATCCTCGACTCGGCAATGCACAATGCCACATTGGGCACGGCTCCAATGTCGTTTTTAAAATTCCACGTGCACATTAACTTTTGCATTTTGTGTGTGGCGTCATTCCACAGGGTTGAGCCGTCCTCATGATGTGGCCTCAAGTAGGAAGATGAAACACTTGTATTTAACATAACCAGGAGGTGACTTGGTTATATCTTCCTCCAACCAGAATCGAACAAGGCACTGTGACACTGCGAAAAGTGATTGTGTTGAAGGGTTACCTGCGAGTGGATGAAGGGAATGCTCTTGACTCTGGCGCAGCTCCGCCCTTGTTCGCATCTCAAAACATGACGAGGCTCACACAATAACCTCATTTTCCATGTTTCCCCCCCACAGCCCAATTAAATCGTATGTTGCTAGGTGATGCTTTGCATTGAGCGGACAAGCGAGCGCCTAACGACAAGTTCTGGGAAACCAAGTGCACGAATTCACACGGCGCCGATTTCTGCTGCCTCCCGAGCGCACCGAAGAAGCCCCACCACCACCACCACACGTGCGCGCTTGAACCTCTCTCCGAGTGTTGCGTGGGCTGTGATTCCTGGTCGATGGCGAGCCTGGCCGCCGCAGACGAGGGGGTGGTGACAGGAGCTGCGGTTGTGGCGGCAGGCGGACTTGGTGGAGGCGGTAGTGGTGGCAGTGGCGGCGCTGTCAGTACGTCGTGCAGAGCACTAACGAGAGCAACGGGGGGTTCCATGTGCGAGACCCCTCCGTGGAATCGGCGGCCGAGTCTGCTGTGGAACCTGGAGCCGGACGAAATGAGGGACAAGGTCCGAGAGCTCTTCCTTCTCTGCGACAAGGAGGACAAAGGCTTCATCACCAAAAGGGACATGCAGGTACGGACTGACACGGGGGCTTTGTGGGTGAGCAATGTAGGAAAGCGGTGGTGACGGTGATGATTCCTTCGCCCTCGCTTTGGAAAAAAAAAGAAACAATGCCACATGCAATGTAAGGCAGCACGAAGGTATATAAGGACTGTTGACTACAACTTATAATTTCTATCTGTTGCTAGTGACATCTGAACCGTGCATAGTGACATCACAGAATGTAATTATGTGTTTAGCACTGTTGTTGCAGTTAACTGCAGTGTAAATAGTGAACCATGGTTTTGCACTTAATATGCATTACAGTTACGGCACACCTCAGCATATATATTATTGGTTCTTTCGGTAAAGTCACGTATTATTTTATTATTTCCCTTCTACGTGACTTTACCGAAAGAACCAAGAATATGAATCCCTGCAGTCACGAAAGCTTTAAACCTCAGCATATGTCAGTATATTTAACTAAAGTGTCACGATAACGAATTGGAATTATTAAACGATTGTTTAATGTGTGAATGATAATTGCACTTGGCCGTGTGTTGCAAACGTTCACGTTTAAAGAGTTTGCCGAACAGCTGAAACTACTAGCATAAGGATCGTTAAATATCAGTGCCATTAAAATCACTTACTGGCAAAGTAGAGTTTATTTTTTGTTAATGGAAATTATAGAAGGCAGTCAGAGACTTGTTTTTTCTTTTGTCAAATCGTTCATTTAGATGTGCTACATTATGCTAACTACATATTCGGCGACTCCCTGTTCCTCCTAACACCTCTACTTATATATTGCAATCTAAAACTTTAAAATAAACACGTTTACTCTTTGGGTTTTTCGGTAAAGTCACGTAGGTAATTTAGTTGTTTTCATTGGTTTTATTTGATTTTTTACCTACGTGACGTTACCAAAAAAAGAGTATGAATCCTTGCAGTCACGAAAGCTTCAAATCTAGAAATTAACAGGTGTTTTAATACATTTCAACATGCATTTTGGTTGAGCAGAATGCGTTCTCATAAAGGACGTCATGAGCCATGATCTATCCAGTCCTGGATGAAGGCCTCCCCGTAACCATATCTGATGGTCACACAGTGTAACAATCCATCTAACTGTGGCACAGGAGCTGATTCCATCACTCCATCTCTGGGGTATACATCCTCTCGCATGACTTCACTCCTTCGCTTGCCAATTGATCGTTCGTCCGAATTAGCAACCATCATCCCTTCTAACCAAGTGTACTGCCCAAACCCACTTACTTTCCTTGACGGTCAATGCAATGTCGGTAACTTGCATGTGTTCTCTAATCCATGTGTTTCTCTTTCTGTTGGTCGGTGTGATTACAAGCATGCACGAATCAATGCCTCTTTCCGCACATTTCAGCTTTTGTTCCATTTTCTTTGTCAATGTTGATCCTTCCAATCGATACGTCGTCACAGCAGGTAATATTCACTTATTAAAAAACAATTGCTTTCAGCACGCTGGTATGTTGCTTTTTATGATTAAGTTCAGTTTCTCAAAAGCATTCTAACGTGATATTGTCCACATATTAATTTAACCAGTTTGATCCCAATGTGCCTTTAATAACGATCCTTGGTATGCATACTCTGATGAGTTTTTCAGCTGCGTCACTCCAATAATTGTCTTCACTTGTTTAGCCAGCTTGCTCTACATAACTTACATTTGTTTCATATTTATGACATATTGAGCCTAACTTTGCATCCTTATACTGGTAGGAACCTCCTGGTTACACCAGCCGACAGGGGATTATTGTGTCCGTCCGTCCATCGTACATCCAAAAATGGGAGGGGTGGGGCTGGGTGGAGAGGGGAGGGTGGGGAGGGGCTGGGTGGGGAGGGAGGGGCTGAGTGGGGAGGGTGGGGATGAGCTGGGTGGGGAGGGTGGGGCTGGGTGGAGCGGGAAGGGTGGGGAGGGGCTGGGTGGGGAGGGGAGGGTGGGGAGGGGCTGGGTGAGGAGGGTGGGGCTGGGTGGGGAGGGGAGGGTGGGGAGGGGAGGGGCTGGGTGGGGAGGGTGGGGAGGGGCTGGGTGGGGAGGGGCTGGGTGGGGAGGGTGGGGAGGGTGGGGAGGGGCTGGGTGGGGAGGGTGGGGCTGGGTGCGGAGGAGCTGGTCACCCCGTGGTGCCCTTATAAAACTCAACGTTTAACCTACTCACGCCGGCTTGTGCCCGCCCTCACAGTCAGGCATATTTGCGGAAGACACCACGCCGCCGTTGACCCAGGCCATTGACAGCAAAGGTTTCTCTTGCGTCAACCACATACACACTATGAAACATATTCCGACAAAGACTAATGAATACCAAATACCATTGTGCCTCGTCTTTGTGGACGATGAAAAGGTATTTGACAAATTGATGCGGCTGTCATAAGCCAAGGCTTAAATATAAGATATTAATAAATAATAAAATACAATTTGCTAAACGGAACAACTACACCGAGTTGACATCTTCAAACCAACAAAAAAAACATCATAAGGGGTGTCAGACAAGGCAACGTGCTTTCACCAAAGTTTTTCGCAGAAACATTGGAAGATAAATTGTGAAAATTGGATTTGAGAAAAAATGCGTGAACATAAATCGGGAAAATATTAACCATCTCAGATTTGCTGATGACATGGTCATTTTAATTAAAGAGAGGTAGAACATGTTATCAGCATTCCATGTGGTCGAAAAATGCGGATATTAATTTTTTTCCGAGTGTTCATTAAACCTTGATTAATTTAAGGAACCAAAGCACAGAAAGTGCTGTCAATGTGAGGAACATGTAGACTGTGCATTGGTAATCGGTGCCGCGCGTCTTTGTGTAGCTTCGATCAACAGTCATACCCAAACTTATTCTTTCGTACGGCTGCTCATGTAGATGCAGAGCAACAATAACAATTTCACATTCACGTGGTCAAACCCAGACAACGGCGCCAGGAGCAGAAGAGTGTGTGTATCGCTGTGATGTCTCCTCCGTATTTGTGAATCGGGCATTGTGTCGTTATATGTTCTATGGGGACCTCATTTGCCAGTAAAAATATGATAATTGGTTCTTTACCCTTCTATCTGGCAACAAAACTGACAAAAAGGTGTCAGTTTTGTTGCCAGATAGAAGGGTATAGAACCAATTATCGGTATATGTTGTGTGGTTCAAGTTCAAGTGCATTTATTAGGAATAGCCCTGTGAGCCATTCGGTTCTTGAATCGGGTGCAACCGCAACAAACAAAAAACAAAAACATGAACAAAAAATATCTTAAAGTGAATATGTGACTAAGTGCAAACAGAAAATCCAAGAAAAGACAGCAAAATATTGCAGGAAAAAAATCACCGTACACCAACGATGTGTGCAAAAATCCCAGTGGGATGCAAGTCAAACAACCAACAACAACCACAAGACAACTTAGATTAAGGCCATCAGTCTAACTCTGTACTACAACAAACAAACATGGCTAAAGTAATACACTTTTCGAAATCACCAAAATAAAGCCATGAAAGCAATGAAACAGTGATCATAGGAACTGTGACGGAATTTTCACAATAAATGGCATAAACAACATGTAGTCCGTTCTGGATGACCACAGTCGCACATGGGAGAGTTTTAAATTTTCCGTTTGTGTATCCAATATCCGCATCTGCCATGGTTTGTGCGAATGTGGTTTAGGGTGGACTATGGAGGATGAACACCAGGGATCTTCTGCGTTGGGTCTTTCACCCAAACATAACGGAGCACACTCCCCACTGAAACTCCACCACTCGCGCAACAGTTTGGCAAATTCATGGCATGCCGTTGGCCGTTCTGATCTTCATTCATCCGCGTGCACACACGACGGACAAATGATGTGCTGTCACCCGTAACCCACGTGTCGTATAAACAGCGCCGCTATACAGTTGTCATTTTATCCTGCTATTGTCTAAAATAGCGTGGGCCAATTTATTAAACAAATTTTGTGGTGGTCTACAACAAGGCTGTGTGCATTATACGCACGTGGCATGTCAAGTGACATGCAAGGCGTGATAGGAGAACCAATCCAAATTGTCAAATTCGTGCCTCTTGCCGTATATATAACAAATAATTTACCTGTTGCGTGTACGCATACAATTAACCATATCTAATTGAAGACTGTGAGCACGCTTGTTCTGTTCGACGAGTTTAAAATCATTCACAGGAAGTGCTGGAGTTGATCGGTAAATGACGTGTTGCGGTGTGCCGGTAACCGCACTCTGCACGCGCGGCTGCTTGCGTGCTGCGCTGCGTTTCGTAGAGACTTGAGGCCGAGCTGCCCCTGAACCCCGAGCAGCTGGAGGACGTCTTTGAGAAGCTGGACTGCCACATGCAGGGATACCTCACCCTGGCCGAGTTCACCCATGGCCTGGGTAAGCCATGCACACATGGGCCCACTTAACCGAATGCTCGGGGCTGGCAAGCGACGTCGGTGCAGCCTGTGGATTTGGGGGAGGGGGGTCCTGGGAAATTCAGGAAAGTCCCCAGAAGTAGCAAAGAGTCGCCTGTACCGTGCCGGCCTCACTTTGCTCAGTGACGTAGCCGGGCAACATGACAGCGAGGTTGTGTTGCTGTTAGCGTTTTGCATTCAGTTGCCCAATGTCCCACGTGTATGTACAGCCCACCGGTCAATCCACTGCTAAATGATGGCCTCTCCACACGGTGTTGGTCCTGCGGGTTGTTTGACCATTTCTCACCGTGCTAGTAAGTGCAGGTTGGTAAAGGTTGGTGGAGCACAAAACATGAATGTAAGGTTGCTGCTGCACTGCCTTCTACTGCCTATCCAGGCTCAAATTTGCTTAGATTCCGAGGTCTGATAGGACGATGTGCAATTTCGAGTAATATGGTCAGAGGTGCATGATATCCCACCAGTGTAAATATTCATAACTATAAAAAATAAAAAAGGTCGTCTGGCTAGCGTGGAAGAGTAGGACAAATACCTTTAAGAGGAGCTTTATAGAGCTCCCTCTTGTGGAAGACTTTCTGCCAGCAGTGGCATGAGCCAGCAATTGCAGGGCTGCACCTTTACCTGTTAATCTTTTTTATAATACTGTGTTATTCTCAACGCAGGTCAGTATCTGGGCCTGCAAAGCCTCGTGACTAAGGGAGAGCAGGTCCCTCAATTTGCTGAAAAACATCTTCCCATCCTGACGTGGGGCGACAGTGAGAGCGACCTCTGCCAAGAAGATGAGCTCCATTTCTCTCGCCTCATGGACAGCTTGGGCGCTCGCAACGTCTTTGGCGAGTGAGTCAACTGCAGCCGGCTGCACAAGTACAACAACACCCCCTTTGTGTCGGCTCCATGGAAAACCTCCAGGCGAAGACAAAGTTTCCCCGTATTGCCTCAGACAGACTATTGGGACAAGTGCTGTTAGCGAGCACATATTCCCCCACACACGTGCGCACACACATGCACACACATGCACGCACATGCAGTGGCTTGGCTAACTATCGAGTGTGTAGTCGGTGCAACTGCACCCGTGTCAATGGACCAGGAGAGCCCAAGCACCCACGAAGAGGGGATATTGGACAAGGGGTCCCAAGTTTATTCTTTGCACGAGGGCCTATGCCAATCATGCTACACTCATGTACATAGGCACATGAGCGTAGTATGTGTATATTCTTGGGTCTTTCTGTATAGTCACATAGATAGGTTCAAAGAAAATAACAAAAATATCCAAAACATTTCTTCGAACCTATCTACGTGGCTTGTACCGAAAGACCCAAGAATATGAATTCCTGCAGTCACGAAAGCTTTAAGTCAAGCATGTGCATGATTAAAACAAAATTAATCAGAGTTCACTTTGTACATATGCCCATCGCTTAACTGATGTTGACGCACACTGATGTGCATTATTGCAATCCAGTTTGCATTCTTTAACAAAAGTGAAGAAAAAACATTTCCAGTTGATTATTTCAATGACGATGGCTGTGGACGAATGCATCTGCACGGTTTTCCATGCATTGGTGGAAAGTGAAGGTCGGATTGCATGAGCAGCTGCCTTCAAAGGCAGCCCTGTCCCGCAGCCATTCATTGAATTGAGAGTACAAGACTATGTGGTGTTTCAAACCTTGAACCTCAATATTAAAACGTCACAATTATTTCTAAAACTTGTAAATACACTCACACTGAACGACATCGTTACACTTCAGAGACGACCGTGTAAATGTAATTGGTCATGACTCAGGTCAAGTAATTGCTTAAAACGACGACTGGAGACTTGTCCAGAAATTAATTCTTGTCTTTGACCTCTCGCCAACTAAAGCGTTATCTTCCCCTGACTGGGATTGCAACTCGCAACCCTTTGTTTGTGAGCCGTGTACCCCATCCATGGGCAATTTGCAGAGTGCAATACGTTAAGCATCTTAACTATAACACAATAAATAACAGGTTCAATTGGAGGGAAAAAAAGTCCTTTATGAACTATAACAAAACTCATTGAAATAAGCCGTGACAGATTTCCATAATATACGTGGATAAGTGTTTTTTTTTAAATGAAAACCATTCTAAATGTACATCATAATTAATCACATTTTGAAATACCTCCTTTAATTACCACATATTTTAAATGTTTCACATCTGATTATGGTTGATAATACACAGAAATTCGACAGTCACCGATTTGATTAATAAAATGGCAACGTGTGATTGCAGCATGTTATTTAATTGTGCGAATCATAGTATTTTTGCATGTCTTAATATAACCAACCACAGGAGTGGCTGGGCAATAATTTAATCCGCGCTGGAACAATGTTTCAGTGACAGTGCACGTTAGGGCCAGTGGCGACAATAAATTTATTAAATTATTTGGGATAAAGGTGCCTGTTAAAATAAACACGTTGGAGCAGGGGGCATTCATTGTGGTGACGTGCATGCGTGATGGAAAATTGGGAAGGCATGCATGATGTGTGACCCTGAATGGTATGACATCTACATATGAAAGCAAAGCAGAGAGACTGCGGCATTTTCAAGTGCAGATAGGAGACATAAAAGCACATAAAAGCATCAATTTAATTCACCAAGATGGCCAAAAGCTGAGGTTCAGAGTGTGTTCTCTCCCGCTCAATAGGAGCACATCTGCTGGCCTATCCGAGGTTATATTTATATATTATGCCTCTTTCTTTCCCAGATCCTCTGGTGAGTCATGACTTATGACACACATGCCCCTTTTTTCATATGTAGGGGCAAACGTGGAATGCTGCCTCCAATATTTCACAAGTAACTTGATCTATTTACTGGTGTCTCATTACACACATTCATTAATTCGTATGAGACTCTACATTTGGGCACTTGGGCCAGCCAAGGATCTTACTACCTACAGTGCTGTCCATAGGTCAGGGGTGCAGCTATTGTGGCTGTCGAAGGTGTTTTTACACCCCTGGAATTTATATATGTGGCTAAGAGACACATGGTAGTTTGGGTCTACGCTTTCCTGACCTCAACATAATTGCTGATTATGCCCGTGACAGAGCCTTTATATACACATTAGCGCACAGATAGTAGGCTAATACAGTCAGCAGCCAGTAGTTCTGTGGATTTGATCAAACCAGAGTGCAGTAGAATTCACCTTATACTCAATGACGTGGGGTCGAACTTCAGGTTTGAGTTTTCACATACAATATTATGATTCGTGATTGATGTTTTGAGATCGGGCAATTTAAACAATCGTCATGATGCCATGTAGCCTTTAGATCCAATGAGATAGTATCTCATTCCTGTGAGGATTGTTCTTCAATTTACCGGTGAGCTGAAACAATAATATATCCTTGTACACGTGACAATTAATTTGTTTGTTTGGGGTGGTGGAGGATCTTAATGACAAAGATTTGGTAAAAATTAAATATATTATTTGGTGATGGTGCATTGACAGTGTCGCATGAGCACAACTATAACATAAACCCTCAACAATGACATTGCCTGAAATGTCACCAAATATATATTTTTCCTTTCAAGGCAGTGTTATTGATGAATGTGTTGAGTGTTTTTTTAAATTATAGATTTGGTCCTGATCATTACGTGGCCTAACCCAATAATCAAACATGAATTCTGGGATCCTATCTGTAATGTAACCAAAAACCACCGAGAACAGTTCTTTGGTAAGGCACCCTCAACTCGCTCATCTTGACTGCTCCCCTGCCATAGCACGCATAGGTGCTGATGTAAACAGTGGTTTGGAGTCATCTACGAGGCGCCACGCGTTGTCAGGAATGGAGTAGCTGCCCAGGCTTGAAGCCACTTGTCTCGCAGGCTTCAGTTGTTAGCCCGGCATCCGACAGACGTTTAAAATCGAGTGCATACCTCACAAACTGACCATATTTCTTTGGTTTTGTGGCAGCAATCTGACTCAGGTGAGTGTATAAATATCGTATTAGTTATTAGAATGTTTGGCTTTCTTTCCCCACAATATACCCTTTCAGAAATCTATGTTGAACTGCGGAACACCATAGGCTCATGGAATAATAAAATCTACTTGGTTCATTTGAACTTATTTGATGGGTTAATTAGACTTTGGTGGATTGGTTAATTAAATCTTGGTGGACTGGTTAATTGTGAGACATGTTGGCACAGTGGTATTGCGCCATGAACCCGGCAAACTTGAGTTCAATTCCTGGCCACGGAAAACATCAATGGCAAGTGATATTTGAACCAGCAGTGAGGTGCCCCTTTCACTAACTTGGACTGAACAGCTTGGCGGCATATGGTCAAACGACCCCTACGACTGACACGGCATGCGGAGGCCTTCATCCAGCATTGGATTGAAAAAAGGCTGTAAATTATTCATTATTGTAATTAGATTAGTTAATTGGACTCTGATAGATGAGACTCTGTCTGGTCTTTGGTGTTGCTTTGGCCTCATGATAATGAGCGGAGTTAGGAGACCTGGATCCCCTGTGTCACTGGGCACTCTGTGCCAGCACATCTGTTGCACATTATGATCCAATTCCACCTGAATAGGACAATATTGTAATCAGGATCCATTAGTGTTCCATAAAAAAAGACAAGACAGAATGTATCTTCTTAATATAACACAGCCTCTCTCTATATTTGTAAGTGGTCGTCTCAAACATTGCTACATCATGATGACACTCTACACAGATGCATTTTAAATAGAAAAACATAATCAGACATGAGCATTTAATCACACTGACGTAATTTATAAAATAATACCTTTTTTATTTCAAGAATTCATGAATGGAAAAAAATCTGTTCATTTTTTTCATACATTTATTTTACGTGCTTTGACAAAGCATCCGTGTTTTAAAGATTAGATTAATTTCCCATCGAATATGCACCCCACCTTGTTTACGTGGGTTTCATTCAACTAAATAACACTTTCCTTCGTATTACGCTCATGAATAAAGCTAGTGCTAAACATTGTACATTAATTGTCTGAACAAGCTCACTTGCCTACATTCATCCAAGTGTTATTTTGTGGGTTAGGCTGCAGTTGAATCGATGGCCGCAGTAGTCATGGCAATAGCTCGAGAGAAGAAATGCTCGACGAACAGCCTGACCCGGAAATCCACACTTGGATTACAAGCAGCTGCGAAAATGTACTGGTTTTAATGTGCCACGTCCTTCTCTTGAATGTGCCCGGTGTTGCAGGCAGGATGAGGTGCGCGCCTTGTGGACCCGCTTACGCAGAGATGAGCCGGAGCTTCTGAACAATTTTGAAGGCTTCCTCTCCAGGGTGTCCCTGCAGATCCTGCAGGCCAAGCAGGAGAAAGCCACTGTGGAACGTGTACTCCAAAAGTACGTACTCCGCGCTCAATCGCAGTGCTAATTCCGTGATGGAAATTATTTACGACTATAACCGTCAACTACGGTAAGTGGGGTGTTTTGTTGTTGTTGTCCATCAACGGTGATCACAAGTCGATGAAATTCATCAAGCGTGACGATGTCTTCAATTGCCTACCAGAGAAAAATCATGACTTGTGAAATTAACTAGTCGATCGAAGATGCAGACCAAAGTAATTTAGGACCATCATTAGAGACAGCAGCAGTGCTTGGAGAAAGACCCTCACATCAACCTTTAATAGCCAATAGTGCACTACATTTTTGACTGCTTACGTCAACAGACTATGATAATTAACTACTGTAAATGAAAGCCACGGATGAAGATTTGGCTAAAATATCACAATGTCATCGACCAGACGAAGACGATGACTAAATTATTCATCACAGAGAACAGGGGCCTGGAAAGTCAAATGTTGCGATCCCATGATAAAGAGGCTTTATCAGCTACCTTGGTTACTTGACTTCTCCAAACTTCAAATGTATTTCCACCGCCTTTCCATTTCCAGGGCATATATTATTTCACTTGCAAAGCTAAGAGAACAAAAAAGCTGAAAATCTTCGTATTTTCTTCATTAAAGCCATATTCATATATATCCACTGCTGGCTGGAGCACTCCCAATGCCTTGTTGGTAATTGTCAGGCCATACCTTCACCACACTTTGGGTTGTTCAAGAGTTGAAGCACCAGTACTGGATCAAATACCACTCGCCACTGATGTTAGCCAAAGCAAGAATTATAAACTCGGTGCAGTGCACAAACCACTGTACCACACCTCCCCCAAATGAATGTAAGAAAATAAAATTGTGTAACCGAATTAATAAAAAATTTAATTGTGTGCCTAATTGCTGTACTGTCAAACATTCTTTTTGAGTTTGGAAAGCTTCTGTGGGATTTGGACTTCATTGTGGCCCATTGTGTTTTGTAAGAAAATTGAAATAGAGGGAAAAGTAATTAGCTTCATGAAAACACCAACATTACCCAGAAAATGTTATGAGAAAGAATAGTTTGGTTGAATACAACTTCGTATTTTGTGGATTTTGATCGCTTGTGTGGGGTCTGCCTTCCTCATTCTCTCTCTCTACTCATCTCTCCCCGTCTCTCTATCCTGGGCCATCTCCACGTCCACACCGCCACAGTTCCATCAAATCATCGTTATCACCACTTAAAACCACCTCTTTCGAGGCCCTGCATCACAGTCTCCACCCTGGAACTTCCATGTTGTCACCTTTCTTACTTCTTCTTCCAACGCGGTTTCCTTCTCTTCGTCCAACACGTCCCAGCCATATAAGTCGACTTTATTATCGCTTGTCTGAAATCATTAAAATATCTAAAATAATTAAAAATATATATTTATGGTCTCAATGGAGGATACAATTTTTCGTTAGAAAAAGCAAAGGGGGTGAATGTATTAAACAGTATGTGGTAGAATCAATCATCAGATGAAGCATGTAATGCATCTTTGTTATTTTGTTCGACCACATTTATTTAGTATCCTGGAGATCGGTATGCCAACCACAGAGTTATTTTGAATTGAATATGTAAAATACTTAACACAACTGCAAAATACTATAATGGGATAATTGGTTCTTTACCCTTCTATCTGGCAACAAAACTGACACCTTTTTGCAAGGAGTCATGTTTGCATAGACCGCAATACCTGCAGTCATAAATACAAACAAAAGACATAACTCTGATAATGTGCACTGTCCTTGAAGTTGATTGGTCCACACCCGAGACAGCTTTCCTTCGAGCCTAGTCTCATATGGGTTGGACCAGATGACGCCAAAAGGCGCACAACTCAAGGACAATGCACCATCAGAGTATGAGAGCTCGGGGCAAGCATCTACACTATGGGGACCTCATTTGCCAGTAAAAATATGATAATTGGTTCTTTACCCTTCTATCTGGCAACAAAACTGACACCTTTTTGCAAGGAGTCATGTTTGCATAGACCGCAATACCTGCAGTCATAAATACAAACAAAAGACATAACTCTGATAATGTGCACTGTCCTTGAAGTTGATTGGTCCACACCCGAGACAGCTTTCCTTCGAGCCTAGTATCATATGGGTTGGACCAGATGACGCCAAAAGGCGCACAACTCAAGGACAATGCACCATCAGAGTATGAGAGCTCGGGGCAAGCATCTACATTATGGGGACCTCATTTGCCAGTAAAAATATGATAATTGGTTCTTTACCCTTCTATCTGGCAACAAAACTGACACCTTTTTGCAAGGAGTCATGTTTGCATAGACCGCAATACCTGCAGTCATAAATACAAACAAAAGACATAACTCTGATAATGTGCACTGTCCTTGATAATGTGCACTGTCTTTTGTTTGTATTTATGACTGCAGGTATTGCGGTCTATGCAAACATGACTCCTTGCAAAAAGGTGTCAGTTTTGTTGCCAGATAGAAGGGTAAAGAACCAATTATCATATTTTTACTGGCAAATGAGGTCCCCATAATGTAGATGCTTGCCCCGAGCTCTCATACTCTGATGGTGCATTGTCCTTGAGTTGTGCGCCTTTTGGCGTCATCTGGTCAAACCCATATGAGACTAGGCTCGAAGGAAAGCTGTCTCAGGTGTGGACCAATCAACTTCAAGGACAGTGCACATTATCAGAGTTATGTCTTTTGTTTGTATTTATGACTGCAGGTATTGCGGTCTATGCAAACATGACTCCTTGCAAAAAGGTGTCAGTTTTGTTGCCAGATAGAAGGGTAAAGAACCAATTATCATATTTTTACTGGCAAATGAGGTCCCCATAGTGACTATAATGGGAATTAGCAAATCACCTGCTATGAAGTACATTAGTCCTTAGATATCCAGTTGCGTTAAAGCCATCCATCTAGTGGTTCATATCTCAAACTTTAACCATTTCCCATATTTGATTTCAAGTCTGGAATTAATTATTGCTCATAGGTACCAATGTTTCTTTTGAACTGCATTTTTCTTTCAATATATTTCAATTATTTCTCAAATCGGCCAATAGCAAAACAATAAATTATGATAATGCCATGTTTATACTCAGCAAAATCTCATTGAGTGTCAATTCTTCCTTTCAAAAAGGTAATTGGCCAGTTCCATTCATGAATGATATAGGTAGCTATGACATGCATTATAATCTATTAATAATACATCAAATTAAACAAGTCTTTTTTACGACCAAATACACATAATTTTGGTCCATCTGCCTATGGGCCTTCTGAACCAATATATTCCAGCAGCATTTGTTCAAGCAAGCAAACTATGAATCCCAACATATGGACTAAAAGAGCATAGACAGATGATGAAACCCACTTGATTTCCAAGTTCACTACATGATGAAGCTGAAAGCAGCTTGAGCGAAGTAAAATTATGAGAATTTGATCGATACCAATCACATCTTTGTAAACGGGATAATCTTGTTGGATAGTGTACGATTAATTTTGGTACAACACTACTACGTGGCCTAACCCATAAACAAATATGGATCAATTTATCGACCCAAACCATGCATCTGTAAATATTTATGATTCGAAAACGGACATCTGTCTATTTATTTCTTCATTACTTGCTTACTTATATAGCCTCACACTTTCTTCTGAAAACCATCGTCCCTGTGCGTGTGCCTCTGAGCCTCGTTCCCGAGTTTTACTGCGTCTCGCGCTGCTTAACGTGATGGCACTGGTACATTTCAATCGATAGTTACTGAGCGCCTACTCCCTGCTGATGCTGCTGCGATGCAGGCCCACTCACTACTAATGCCCAACTTTCAATTTACAAATCACATTCTCACTCTATTGTGGACAGACCTATCGGTGTTCAAAAGTTCACGTCACTAAAAATAATATATTTCAATAAAGAATAATTTAGAGACTTAAGGCCAGAACAATGTTAACATAATATTGGATGAAAGTTTAATTTCAAGATGTAATACATTGCAACGTTCTAGCTATCCCCCCTTTTTTATATAAAAGTCGTCGAGACAACCCAGGCAGGGTAAAATGTTATCCCCATGCTTGTACGAGTTCTGTATTCTGGATTACCTGTATGGAATGTGTTTCTAACCATCTTAATGAGTCAGCAGTAGTTGATATTTGACAGAAGATTACTTGATTATATTTTACGTCACAAAAAGTGTAGAAGTATATAATAATGCATCAAACTTTTATGAAATTCATAATTTTGCTACGACAAATGAAACTACCGTATCTACTTTTATAAAAGCATCCATATTTTGTAGAATACGTTCCACTCAACAGAGCAACACTTATGACTAATGCACCGTTTGAAATATTAAGAGAACATTTTGTACTCTAGTTGCACAAAATGGCTTATAGAGAATAATGTGCGTCATGAACAGAACCAATTTAGTTTCTGCAATTCCAGTTGCACATTTAGAATTGCAATTTTCTCGAGTTGCAGTTTAAAGGGCACAAATACAAGAACACAGTACGTCATTATTTTATTTCCCCCTGTAGGAGTTTATAAATTCGAATCTACTAAATTTAAATTATTAAAATGTGTTCAAATTACATATGTAAACATAATTATAATTGAAAGCCCCTTGTCCATTTTTAAACCCTTTACCGCATAGGATCAGTGATTCTAAAAGCAAAAATTGCATTTCATAATTAATGGAAATAAAATTTGTATTAAATGGTACGGTGAACTTTGAAGGTTAAAAAATTAGTAGTTCACTGCATACATTTGTTGGGCTGCCAAGTGCAATATGCAATCCCCAGCTGGATGAAGGCCTCTTAATGCTATTGGTTATAGGGGTTGTGTAACCATATTTTCCTGTGCTGATCAGTACAGCTTCGTTAAGGGGGTGCACAGGACCAGTGCAGGCATTACTCACCACTCATGTGAGGTGAAAATTCGGTCACAGTTCCTATGATCACTGTTACATTGCTTGTATGGCTTTATTTGGGAGATTTCGAAAAGTTTTTTGGTTTGGCCATGTTTGTTTGTTGTAGTACGGATGGCCTTAATATAAGTTGTGTTGTGGTTGTTGTTTGACTTGCATCCCACTGGGATTTTTGCACACAGCGTTGGTGTACGGTGCTTTTTCTGGAATATGTTGCTGTTTTTTCATGGATTTTCAGTTTGCACTTAGTCACATAGTCACTTTAAGATGTTTCCTTCTTCATGTTTTTGTCTTTTATTTGTTGCGGTTGCACCCGATTCAATAGCCGAATGGCTCCCAGGCCTATACCAAATAAATGAAACTGAAACTGATGGTGTGGTCAAGAATCGGACTCAGGTGGCTGGGTTGAGAATGCAATGCACTTAACACTGCACTACCACTCCACCCCTTTTGCAATGTGTTGATTCAATACTTTCCAGAAGTTGCTTTAACCCTGGATTGCTTCTTGACACACTATGGTACTATTTTTGTGAAATATAAAAGTGCCCTGCACAAGTATGACATATATGTCATCAATGTATAATTAAATATTTCGTAATTAATGTTACAATATAAATAGTCTGTTGATATCAGTGTGAGATGACACGTGAATGATTAATTAATGTATATGTATTTAGATTTTTCTCATCAAAAGAAAGCATAGAGTAGGTTGTATATTTATAGAACAAAAATATTAATGTTAGCATTACTTTATTAAACATATATATCGTCATACACTCACGATATAGTCTGTATGTGATATATAAATATCCCCCAGGGATACATTTAATATTTCTTTTTTCAGATAACGACAGAGTGAGACTCTGTCTTATCGAACAGGTCTGTCGATAAGACTCTGTCGATAAGACTCTGTCTTATCGACAGACCTGTGCTTCACCTGAGGACGGCTGCTTGCGTTGTGGCCGAAACGTCGTGAGAATTATTTTATTATGTTTTATTTTTATTATTTTATTATTTCCATTCTACGTGACTTTACCGAAATAACCAAGAAGATTGTCACCATTGTCACCATTGTCACCATTGTCGCCGAGTGGCCACCCACCATGTGACATCCATTAGCGCCAAAACTCTTTGGAAATTATTATTATTGATCAGACGGGCTGCACTAACAGCTTCACAAGAGACTTAACACCCCCCGCCGCCCCGTCCACTTTGACCCGGCGCTCCGGCATGCTGGCGGACAGGAGGAATGGCGACCATGACCGCGAGGTGCAGCACCTGTACGAGGAGATGGAGCAGCAGATGAAGAGTGAGAAGGAGAAGCTCTCCAGCCAGGTATTCACCACAGCTGCATGCCGTTTCAGAAGGTCCGCAAGCTTTATATTTCCTCTTTATTTACGTATCACGAGCAGCATTATCATCAGCAGTAGCTTTGATTTTTCCGCTGCTCGGTGAAGGCCTCCCTAATCTGCTGCCATCCATCACGGTCCAGGGATGTAATCATTAATCTGTCTCTGCAGTGGATGTCCTCTGCAGCACGTTTCCTCCCTTGGCTGCCACTCTATCGTTAGACGTTGGTCTCAACCAACGGCAATCATCCCTTCTAGCAACGTGTCCTGCCCAAGCCCACTTACTTTTTGATAAATATTTAATATAATACCATACCTTTCATTTGCTTTGTTCCCCAATGCATGCATGTCTTTCCCTGTCTGTCAGTGTAATTCAAAGCATGCACCTCTCCTCCATGTTTCTGATCCATGTGTCACTACGCAGGTGATACACTCATAAAACACTTTCTTCTTGAGACAAATTGGTATTCTCCCTCTCAAAGTGATCCAACATGCTCTCATCCACCTATTTATTTAATAATGTTGATCTTGGTCCGGCGTTCAGAAACTTCCCTAGTCCGATGTGTTTCCAGTTATGTCCCTCTGACAGATATCTGCAATCGTTGAGAAACTCGTTCATATTGACATATATGTGCGCACTCCCTGTATCGGTGTATCTGGCCCAGTGGTGCTGTTGGCACCACTGGGCTATTGGCACACTCGGACTCAGCCTATGCTCTATTTAGAGGGGATACAATGAGTACCACTTCATCTTCTTGGTTCTTTCGGTAAAGTCACGTAGAATGGAAAAAAAAAATAATAAAAAATAAACCAATAAAATAATTCTCACGACGTTTCGTCCACAACGCAAGCAGCCGTCCTCAGGTGGAGAACAGGTCTTGCGTTGTGGCCGAAACGTCGTAAAAATATTTAATTATTTTCTGTTTCATTATTTTATTATTTCCATTCTACGTGACTTTACCGAAAGAACCAAGAAGATGAATCCCTGCAGTCACGAAAGTTTTAAATCGAAAAATGAGTACCACTTCGTCGAAAACAAATAGTGGCCATGCTGTGGAGAGACTTGCTTCCACCACGATAATGTAGAGTTTCCACCACTGGCTCAGTACCAGCAATGGAGAAGAGCGCCGTAGCAATGCTCGTTGAGCTCTGAGACACGTTGACTTGCCGGTGCGGATCAAAGCTACGCTCACGAGGAGGTCAATAAAGAACTTGCTCTGTTGGACTTTCGATGCGCTCGCTGAAGGATGCTCGGAGGCTTCTGTGCCGTAGCCAAGAACTCGAGGCCGAGTTGGACGCGAAGGAACAGGAGGTGAAGAATATCCGGACTCAGCAAGAACAGGTGGGGATGACGCAGCTCTTTCTCAACGTGTCACCACTTATTATTAGTATTCTTCTTCTTCGGTCACGCCTAAGGTTCAGGGAGCCAATATAATTAACTTTAAAACAATTTCTAAATAATTAAACAGACAATTATTAAACATGTTCCATCGTGTAAAAAAATAACCACCAGTCTGTTGGGCTGTCCTAATGAATGCCTTTCGCCAGAATATGTTTAATCCGGAAACTTATGAATCTCAGAAGCAGAGTGTGGTCTGTTAAGCAATCGCTGCTGGGTTGCCAACGTTTTTAGCAACATGTATTACACTATCCACGGGGCACTCATATATGAGTTTACCCCATATGGGCACAATAGCTCTTACTCACAGTCCTCCGGCATGAATGCACCCAACGATTTAATTTTGACCACTGCTGTTCAGGCCAGCGACCAGGAAAATATAACTGCGCTCAGCACACCACATCCAGTATACATCTGGTTATGGCTGTGCTTACTACTTACGGGTCGACTGCAGTCTACCAGCGACCCGGAATATAGTCAATGAGAAATCAAGCCGTCGCAGCGATCACCGCTGGGCGCTGCTGTTGACCAGGCGCCGTGGCTCCCACACCGAGTGCTTGCAGCTGGAACGGGCGCTGACCGAGCTGAACTCGGAGCAGTCGGAGACGCGGCAGCAGAACGATCGCTTGCGGCAGAGCAACGAGGAGCTGGAGGAGCGGCTGGCGCAGGTGCGGCGGGAGCTGAGTGACGCCCTGACCCTCATGGAGCAGCTACCGGCAAAGCCTTCGACGGTCGCATCGCCACCTGTGGCTCCACGCGACACCCAGTGAGTGCGGGAGGCACGCGGGGAGCAAGCGCGCGTCTTTGTCCCCCGTCCCGTCGTGTGCCTGCTTCCAACAATATACGTATTTGTGTTGAACTTCTTTCACACCATACGCAGCCAACCGCACTAACCGGTGCGGGAGAAGCACAATAAAGTTAACACGAAAAGCAGTTCTAAAGAAATTAGTTTTCAATCTAGATTTTCAAGTGCATAGCTCCAGTGGCTTCCTAATATCGGAAGGAAGAGCATTCCAGACGGCCGCAGAAGCGCATCTGAAAGTGCGCGATGGAGTGACCCTCTTTGTTCGATGGATAGAATTACATCACAGAGCTACCTCTGAAAAACATTCAACAGCCTTTTTGTGTTTATGCAGTTGTCCTTCCCCCGCACCTCCAATTAGTGTGGGTGGCTATGTTCAACAAACGTACATACATGCACTGCTAGCTGCAGAGTTCCAAAGTAAAACAAAATCATTGCCAATCCATTCGTCTTGTGACATGAGGGGAGGAATAATAAAAATTTAATGAGCCCAATTGAGACTGGTGAACTAAGGCAAGCACCCAGCCAAGACTGCTCACAGGGCCCTGGAATCAGTTTTTTTTTCAGTTTCATTTATTAGGTATAGCCCTGTGAGCCATGCGGCTCTTGACTCGGGTGCAACCGCAACAAACAAAAACATGAACAAAGAACATCTTAAAGTGACTACGCACAACAGAAAAATCCAGGAAAAAACAACAAAGTCTTCAGAAAAAACACCGTATTTCCACGCTGTGTGCAAAAAACCCAGTGGGATGCAAGTCAAACAATAACCATAAGACAATAAAAAAAAAGTTATCAGGCTAACTCTGTACTTCAACAAACAAACATGGCTAAACCAAACGTTTTCGAAATCACCAAAATAAAGCTATAAAAACAATGTAATAGTGATCATAAGAACTGTGATTAAAATTTTACAATAAACGATATACATAACATGTGCGACCAATCTTTGCAGCCATAGCTGGCAGCATGAGTCACTCCATAACAGCAGGAGTATCAGTAGGAGTATAAAAAATTTTCAATGCACATTTTAAGATCAGCACACTATTATCAAAACTCATGAAGACCTTAGGTCTTTTGTTCTTCGAAACAATGAGGAGATCCAGCAGGTAGTCTGCTGATTTTTTTGTAAGTACATCGTGAATAAATAAGATCTGATGCACAAGCCGTCGATCATTAAAATATGTTAAGTTTGACCCAATGTAGAGATCGCAGTGGTGGGTCCTATATGGGCAGTTCAATGCAAATCTTAAGGCCGAGTGATAAATTGAGTCAAGCTTCTTCAGTATAGTACTGGGGGCTGATTTATATACGATGTCACAGTAATCAAGTAGAGGCAGTATGGCAGCTTTTATCAATTCCAAACGGAACATAGGGGGGAAGCAGTGCTTGTGTCGATACAGAAAACAAAATTTTAATTTTGTATGTTTACCAATATAATCAATGTGATCTTGAAAATTCAGTTTTGAATCAAAGATGACCCCAAGATACTTATAGATCTTGACTTGCTCTATTTGATAATTATTTAAGAAATGTAATTGGGGGAAAATAACGTCCTGCTTTAGGCCTGGTGAGAAGCATAGCACCTTGGTTTTGGAGGTATTCAGGACTAGTTTAAGAGCATCTAGCTGATGGTGTAGTTTGTTGAAATCAGCCTGGAGCTTAGCAATCACGCCATCCGGAGAGCGGCCAGCAGTAATCAGTATCGTGTCATCTGCAAATAGATTTACCCTGGAATGATCCAGGTCAGTGCCCAAGTCATTGACATAAAGAGAGAACAAGAGGGGGCCGAGGATGGAACCCTGTGGAACCCCTTTTGTTATCTTAACGCTGTTTGACCTCCAACCATCTATGATTACAGTTTGAGAGGTAATTTTTTAACCATTCCACTGCGTGTTTGGAGAAATGGAGGCAATTTAGTTTACTAAGCAGTGTGTTGTGGTCGACTGTATCAAAGGCTTTGGACAAGTCAAGAAAAAGACTGGCGCAGTACTGCTTATTATCAAGGCTACTGTAAATGTGATTTATAGAGTTAAATGCAGCAGATGTGGTACTGTATTTTTTCGTAACCCAGATTGGTTTAGATGTAAGAGATTGTTATCGGACAGGAAACTGCTAATTTGGTAGTTCAAATTTTTTTCCAAATCTTTCATCAACGGGGATAAAATTGAGATAGGTTTGGTAGTTATTTGGATCATCTTTAGGGCCCCCTTTGTGGAGTGGACGAACATAGGAATGTTTCCATTCATTGGACGAAATGTGAGGGATTTGCGAGACACGATTGGTCCGTTTGGTTTTCCACGGCGGTTGCCCCTGGCAACGGGTAGCGACGCATTCGCTGCGGGGTGGACGCCATTTTTAATTCCCGTTAAAAATATGCGCACGCATTAACACGCGACTCTGAGGTAAATTCATCAAAGTTTCACGTCCTCTTCACTCCCCCCCCACCCCAATGTGTGCAATTACTATTATAGGGTCGGTAGATAATAAAATTATAGCGATTAGACAGTATTATTGTAGCGCGGGGGGGGGGGGGGGTAACGACCCCAGTACCCAGCCTCAGCCGGGTGGGCAATTTAGGCGAGGCCGGAGGCTCTGCACGGTACTAGGCCTCGACACCCCACCACACTATAGGCCGTACATATTACTGCACAGCGGCCGAGGAGATCGTGGCTGGGGGGGGGGGGGGGCAGGGGTAGCAGCCCATCTGTGTATATATGTAAGGTTATTAAGAAATATATTTTTCACCCAGGCAACGCCGGGTACTTCTGCTAGTATAGTATATATATAAATACACATCGAGTTGAGAGATCTGGTCTTCGGATATGTAGAGCAGCAGGAATGAGAAATATTTCATTAACCAAATACATTAATGACAAAAAGGACGTTGAATTTGGTATCTCGGTGGTTGAGCAAAGGGCCATTGCAGCATGAACACTTGTGTGCATATGTGAGGCTTTGTGATTCATACCCCAGTGAATGCTGCTCAGCTGGAGAGATCCATTGTTACACATGCGGGCTTCCTTTGTGTATTTTAAAAAAGCTAGCGGCTGCCTTGACAATGTCTGTCCTTGATGGGATTCACTTTATGCAGGTCTCTTTGGAAATGAAGATGTTTATCTCGAAGGGCTGTTGCATCTCAATATGGTTTATTTTCACTTAGTTATATAAGAATGTTTTTATATATATAAATACATCGTGGCGACATTTATCTCACTTAAACCTCACGCGCGACCGACATGATATAATCTCTGTTATTTATGCTACAAATTGTGCACGTGAGAATGGTGTTAGAAATTTATTGTTTTTAAATCCTTTATATTAAGTTCGCTTGCTTGCTTGCGTGCTTGCTTACGACCGTGCAAATCTTTCGGTCGTTTTTTAACCCACTTCCCGTGATCCAATCGAGCTGACATTTTGCACACAGACTCGTTGTGCGAGACAATTAATGTTCGTGAAAAAAACATTTCCAAGATTTTACACTGTTTAGGGAAAACAAATTCAATATTTAATTACCAATTGTTTAATATTGGCAGACAATCATCTGACCCATAGGTGGCAGCCATCTCAAGCCAGAGGACGAGAGCACTCGAGCCGCCACGCATATAAAGGATTTATAGTGAAAAACTTTGTTTTTACGGGTTATACGTATTACACGTGAGTAGCGCATGCTGAACGTGCAAAGTCACACGTGCCTTGAAACGTAGACTTAAACGCTACGTCGATATCATTATTATTTTTTATAGCCATTAGTCAATTGACTGAGGGATGAGAGCTTTGCCATGCGGTGTCTTGCCATGGGAGTTGTTTGACCATACTTCACCACGCCGGTCGTTATGGGTTGGTGAAGGGGGTGGGGGGGGGTGCCAGGACCACTCCAGATTATTACTCGCCATTGTGTACTGCATGTACGATGAACTTCTTTCGCACCGTACGTTGGCCAACCGTGCTGATCGGAGTTGCGGGGGAAGGACAACAAACTAAACGCAACAACAACAAGCTGTTTATGCGATGAGATGACGTTAGCCGTCGCTGGGAATTTAATTGTGGATGATCGATTTAGAGTGCAGTGCGCTAATCACTATCAGACCCCTTCCCCCACCTGCTAAGTTGCATCAGGTTATGGTTATGCACCATTATTGCGTGAATATAGTGAAGTGCTATTTAATTGATTTAGCAATGTACTTAAGCACACTGTTTTTGATGTCATACAAATCTGGACGTGAGCCTGGGGGGGTGGTGGGGGGGATGGATTGCGACGTCGGAAGAGCACGACCGCTTTTGCGCAAAAGCGACAGAATCGCGGGGAGCCAACACGACCGGCTACCCGTAAAAACAAACCCGTTCCGTGCGTGCCGGTGAAACACGCACATTTATTTTTTGCACATTTAATGAGACGTGCCCAGCAGCTTACAGCAATGCACTCGATCGTGCAGTTTCAGAGAAAAAAAATTGCATAGGGGTCTCTTTTCATTGTGCGTCTCCTTGACAACTCGTTTTTCATTGAGATGTCATCACTGCATTTGCAGCCATTAATGTAGGGGGGGGGTTATGCTGAATTTAATAATGGGGATTCTAGTGAGTCTTTCATGAGCAGCTATCCTTGCAAAGGGAATGAGCATTGGGTGTAGGCGTGCATGGACTATCTATTCCAAACACCTTAACCCTTTAACAATGTACTATTGTGTTCTGCTCCTAAAGGCTCATAGTCATTTATATTTAATGTTTTTGTATGTAAACAATTTAAAGGTTAAAGAGAGTATAGCAATTACGAAGAAAAAATTAAATTTAAATAGTTATTTCTAAGAAACTTAGTTTCTGCGTCGGTTTTTTTGTGGTTCGTACCGCACAGCACTCCAGCGTGTTGTCGGGTTGACCCACATGTTGTCCGACGTTTCACTCCACATTCGACACCACGCTTCCAGGAGCTTCTTTGATTACTGAAGAATTCATAGTTCATAATA